ACACACACACACACACACACACACACACACACACACACACACACACACACAGCCTCTGAGCAGAAAAATCAATCAACCTAACCTGACAGTGAAACAGGCACAAAGTGTCGAAACTGCTGTGAGGTTGTTAATAAGCATTTATATAACTATTATATCAGCTCTCACATTATCATATGAAAATATCGAATATGTAAACATTTTATACTGGCCTGTAATAAAGACTGAACACAAGTGTGCTGGTTTGAATTCAAACAGCCCTCATCTTTGTAATGTTTAGCCTGTAAGACTTATAGGAGCATTGGAAACAGGCGACAATATATACAAATGAATGATGGTAGTCGTTGATCAGATGGTTAATGTGCTGACGTGTGTGAGCCAGTTTACAGTGATTTAAAGAGGCCCATACAAAGTGATGGTAACCTGACACCTGCACACCTCTGCAGGTAGAGCTACCTTGCAGAACATGAACCTTTCCTGCCACCGTTTGGTGATTCAACGTATTGCAGGTCTCCATAACGTCAGGTTCATCATCAGGGACTATAATGCCTCCCTGTGTTTCAAACAGATATGAACAGTGTTACTGACTTATTGTTTAGGTTTGGACTTTCTTCATTAACACAGACAAACAATGGTGGAAGGCACCGATATTATCCTCAAAATAAAACCCACAAATCCTGAGCAAAATATTTATAATGCAAATCAGCCCCACTCAGATTTTAATACAATTATGATTCTGTAATGTCATTATGCTTTAACGTGCAAGCAGCGATTACTGTGGTTAATTTGAGGTACTTTAAGGTTGTTACACAGTTTAAACTGCTTTAAAGGCGAACATTTCTATTGGATATGAATTCTTAATCTGTATAGTACAGGCCTACTGTAATTGTTGGATAAATTAGTGGACTGTTAACCTTATTATATTTCCATCTGAAAAGTAGAAATGTTCAGGATAAGTAAAGTCAAAGTATACTATTTACACCACGGCACAGATCATCATATAAACTTGCACTTGTAATCTTACATTTTTACTAATGACACACAGTGACAACTAGTTCCCATTGTTTTCCAGTCCTCACACTGTAATTAAGTGGTTTAAAATAACTAATAAATAAATAGGTTATATTATAAAATGTATTGTGACACACTGGCTCAGCATAAATATAAAATAGTGATTGTTTTTATAGCTACAATGCAGGGCAGCAAATATGCATCATTAATAAATAATAATTTCATAAGAGGATCGTCATGTTAATGTTTTTATATCTCCAAACTGTGACTCGTGTTAAAAACCACAGGCTGAATAGATATAAGGGAACAGTTTTGCAATAGACCACCAGATGGACCTGTACAGGCTGCAAGCGTGTGCACAATGATGCTGCTTTCATGGATATAACCAGGAAGCCTGCATACAAACCAGAGCGGACGTATTCAAAAGGTTAATTGCTAAATTCGTTTTCAGCCGTCGGTCTAATTGACTTGACGCCCACCACCACAGTTGTGTAACTTCTATATCTTCTCAGTTTTAAGTTGTTGCACTGCGCCTTTAACTTCTGAGCCGATTTCCCAGAGAGCAACAACCTGTACCCGGCTCAGCGATCCTCCCCCTGATGGATTATTTAGCAGGCGCTCAGTCCCATGTCGCCATCTGCTCTAAGAAGAAAAACACTGCGGAATATTCTCCGAGCCAGATCATAAACTGGGTAAACTGGGTTTTTATTTTATAAAAACGATTTAGTGGAACACAGAGCAACTTCTGCAACAGGTGCTCAGCATCCTGCGGGCGTAAAATAGACAGGTAGCGGATTACTGACCCACATCGTCCGGTACAAACATAGACATCAGGCTAGTTTAAGATAAATAGAAGTGAGCTTTACTTCAACATGTGAAACAACACGTGTCATTTGTTTAAAAGCTGCAGCTCTTGAATGGAATCTGATCTTGCTTTGCGCATTTGGCTCTGGAAGGATGTGGGGCGGTAATTGAGCTGCCAGACCAAAATTAACTGACTGGAAATTAACTACAAAGTTGTGAGTACGATGCTGATCACATCCACACGGTGAAGCTGAAAGGATCGACCCTCACAGGCAGAAGGGAGGAGTGGTGCACACCGAGGCGGTCATGGTGGTGGAGGAGGACCGGGCGCTGCTCGCCGCCAGGCAGGGCGACGTGCAGACTCTCAAAGTGCAGTTAGCGGCAAAAGTGCTGAGCGGCGATGTGAAGGATGTACTGGGGGCTTCACCGGTCCACCACGCAGCCCGGGCCGGAAAACTGATCTGCCTGCGGTTCCTGGTGGAGGAGGCAGGACTGCCGGGCAACTGCCTGGCCAACAACGGGGCGAGCCCGGCGCATGACGCAGCAGCCACGGGCAACCTGGCCTGCTTACAGTGGCTGCTGACCCAGGGTGGATGTCGGCCAGAGGTGAGTGACCGTTGAAGTGTGGCTGACATCAGCCTAAGTCTCTGTTTCCTCTGACCTGGCTCACATAAATGTGAGGCCTGCGTGTCAAGCCTTCCCACAGCCAGCTCCTCTCCAGGTGAACCCATGTGGGGCTGGACAGGTCCAACTGGAGTTCAGTGGATCTGGAGTATATCCTAAATATAAATCACAAGTGTTTCCCAAACAGAGATTCCAATTTGGACTTAAAAAGGTCCTGATACATCGTCAGACAATGAAGCCATAAAATCTAAAGGCAGATTCTCTCATCTCTTTTTTCATAGAGGAGGAGCTACAGCACAGTCAACCTTTAAATGTGAAGTGGCTAAATATTGTGTTTCACACACAGTCTTTTTGTTTCAGTTTAAAGAGGCATGGTGACCACAAGGCCAATAAATATGGTTTAAACCTGTTCATGACTTTACCATGATGCTTCACAATGGTTCTATAAAACCAGAATCCATTTATCTTTAACGGGTGATAAGTAATTGATCCGATTATGACAAAAGATAACTTGTTCATCCAATATGGCAAATGTCTACAGAGGTTTATCAAAAATAATTCAGTCATCAGAACACTGTGTTGGTTCAGAAGCCTGTTTTATATCGTTTGAGTAAGAGGTATTGAAAACTAGAATCTGCTATCACTTAAAAATAAGTAACACAGGAAACTTCAATACATGGAAATTATTGTCAACTGTGGGTCGTAAATAGATGAATATGCTCTCTGTTAAATGGGACTATATTGTCTAGGTTCTAGTTTAACTGCACTGCCTCATGTTCCCATGGTAATGAAGTATATGCAAAGCTGGATTTGCAAATCTAATAGACTTTTACAATTACCTCACTTCCATGTGGCTGCTGGTTAGTGAGATGCAACGTTGAATGAGTCTCAGTATGTATCACAGTATGTGCACTTATTAACTGTCACTTATAATGTGATCATTAAATTGTTTCTTATCGTTTCCCTTCAACTTTTCTCTTTTAAAGCACCTTGTGCTTTGAAAGGTGGTTTATGATTTAAGTTTATTATTATTATTAAACCGCCATTATAGTCTGTTGTGTCAAATACTTTTCTTTTTGCAGAATGTGTTGTTTTTCTGAATAATAGATACATCTGGCCATTTTCAATGTGTGCTAATACTACACAGGTTACGCTGTAGCATATCCTGATATTCTTTAGTTTTGAGAAAGCTGTCGTTTTTGTTCAATCCTGCTAAATACCTAACAAACACTGATTAAAAAATAACCTTGCACTAGTTAGTTGTTATGTCAGATTCATCCCTCAGACTGTGTTGGTTCTGAATCAACAGTGCTCAGCCACTACACTGATGCTTATTATGCCTCCTCTTATTCAAAAATGATTTAGACCAACACATAAGACAAAGAAGTACCACACCTGAGCTGGTCAGGCTGATCTCACCTGTAGTCATCTGTGATTCTAAATTTAAAACACAGTAATAAGAGCTGCATTATCTACTTACTGTCTCCATTACTTTTGAGGACTGCTTGACAGAGCACTGAAGAGCAACAAAGAGCCGCCCCCACGCCAACAACTAACTGATAAGATACTTGGCTGACATTTAGTAAAACCTATCAATTACCACTCGCAGTGCAATTTACTTGATGGTCGATCATAGCTTCCACTTTTCACTATTATGTTTCTGCACTGTGATGGCAATTCTATCTTATTTTAAAGCTCATGTGTTTCATTCTACTGCTTCAGACTGCAACTTTAGATTATTTGATAAGACACCAGAGTTCATACACATGCAAATGATTTTTTAAGGTTTGGATAAGACTATGATCTGTGCCTCATTTATAACCACTTTAGTTGCGACAGGTACTTGAGTATGTCTGAATAGTTTCAGAATCTCTCTTTCCGGCTTTAAAATCATGATGTTTGAGATCAGTTCTTCGTCTATGCTGCTTAGAAATGCAACATGTTAAATGCTGAAGGATACGTTAAGTAGGGCTGGTAAGGCCTTAAATTCAGTATTTCACTCTATCATTTAAAGCCCAGCCAGTCAGCAGGATATAGCCAAAATGGGCAACGTGTACTTTTTACACTGTTTATATACCATCCAAGCACAACACTTAAGTGTGTGTGTGAGGTGTATTGTACACAAGCTAATTACAGACTTACATTCTTGCTCAAATATTTACCTTTGTAAGTTGTGCAGGTTCGTTACACACTTACCAACTTTCATCAGCTTTTGCTTGTAAATATTTTTATCTATGTATATTAACCTTCTGTTTGCATTTGAAAAGCTTTCAGTATTCACTAATTTTGTTTTTGTTTTTATATGTCACCTCATCTGTAGGAGTAAGTTACTGCATGATCCATTGCACAATGTGAATGTAAATGCTAACTTGTTTGAGTAAATCTTGAATGATTCATCAACCGGAACTTTCATTTCAGAACACAATATTCAAGCTGTGTTGCGTTTGCTTTATAGGACAAGGACAGCTCTGGTGCCACTGTTCTCCATCTTGCGTCCCGCTTCAGTCACAACGAGATCACAGATTGGCTGCTGAAGAGTTGTGAGGTGGACCCCGGGGCGTCCACCGACACGGGCGCCATACCTGTTCACTATGCTGCTGCCAAGGGAGACCTGCCGTCTCTTCGACTGTTACTGGGGCACAGCCCAAAGTAAGAGCAACTTGGTTATGCTTCCTGTCACTGTGTTCAGGATGTGTCATTTATATGTTGTTGATATCTTCTTGCTGTTGAGTCTTTTTTTACTCCAAACACACTGTCTATTACAAAATCAAGTACTGCTGCAAATAATGATAATTTCCATTATCAATTAATCTGTTATTTTCTCAGTTGAATAAGTGGACTGTAAAAAATAGTTTGGCGTGTTTTCATGAAAGATTAATTATTTCTATATTTTCAATATTTGTATTTTAATGAGTGGTTATGTGGTAATATATGTGATATTTACCTATTCCAAAACCTACTCAACCAATTTCCATGAAATATTGTGGAGCATGATCCAAGGAAGAACTCATTAATATTGGTGTAGATCCACATTAGGAGGTGTTTTTTTGGGATGGGGATTCTTCCACATTTTGTTGATTAAAAAAAACAAAAATAATTTACGAGTGAGCTTTTTAGTGCAGACCCAAATACAAATCTGGATCTTGTGTGTTTCTGTGCACCTCTGATTTCCCCCTTGATGAAGAGCGTCCTTAATCAGTGCAGTGGCAGACCCACCAATGCCTTACCAATATGGAACACATAATCTACACGGGTGAGGTGTAAAGAGGACTCAATTGTCTTTTCTGGGAAGCAGCACTAATCCCACAAGCATTAACTAACAGCACAAACTCTACATGAGGCAGTCAGTCATCTGCCACAACGAAGCCAGGTTTAAAGCCCCCTACTCTCTTTCTCATTTCAGTCAGCTTGAAATTTTGGGTTTGATTGTATTAAAATGTGTAATGATCATGAATGATGATGCAATTTATGCACTGAGTTGGCAGCTTAAACATCTCAGTATTAAATGGTGGTTACACAACTGTAACCGAATGCGTGTTAAGTTAATTTAATTGTATTGTTCAGAGTATTATGAGAAAAGTGCCAGTGGAAAAGCTCCTTGGCCAGATTTGTAACAGGCCAGCATCACTGAGCCACCAGCTGAGATATATCTTAACATGCTGCGTTGGCAAAGTGGGCTGCAGCTTTGATTGACAGTGTATTATCAGATCACTGTAAATACGTATATTAGTAATATTGACAGGGATTTGTGCTGCCATTGCCAAGTAGGTGAGCATGTTTATTAATTGTTAAATATTTCATCTCAGCACCATATACACTTTATCTATATTCTGTTGTGGTCTAATTCCAGAACATTGAGAGATACAGTAGGGTTCACTGTCTTGCTCAGGGGCTTCTCGGTGGAGAGAGTAGTAGTAAACAATTCTTATTCTTTTTATTTTTACTTTATTACTATTCTGTTAAGTTGTTCTGAATTAATTGGGCTTTTCCCGGCACTAATACATGCTCTGCACCTCTAATATTGTCCGGTTGCACCCCAGACAGGTGCATAGCTGCTGAAAATTTAATGAGTCTCAGGGACACGGTAGCACCCTGATAGCTGGGTCCCATTCACTCTTCTCCACCACCCCCCCGCTGATGCTGTTTACCGCTGTCTCCATGGTGACAAACAGTAGCGGCAACCGGTGATAAGATAATGAGGGAAACAAATCCGTTTGAATAGATGGATAGTGGCTATCCTAAGGCATTGTGTGGAATGGAACTTTGCAGCGGCGAGATAGCATTGTTGTCTCAGTCTTTATTACAAGACACAAATTTGTATCAGCGAGTTTTAGGAGGTAATTGGATAGCTCAGTTTGTTCGACTTCACAAGGATAATATGACCCCCTGTGTTACATCATCGCTTTAGTAATTGGCAGCCGCATGATGACAACATGGTGAGAGTGCTGCTGCACAGAGGTAATAGTACATATAACAACACTTCACTGTAAATTAGTAAATAAATAACATCCACTACATTTATGCTGCCAGTATTATTACAGCCGGTTAGGTTTTCATCTGCATTTGTTTGTTTCTTTGTTTGTTGGAAGGATTTAGCACAAAAAAACAGTTTCCATGAAATGTTGTTGTGTTGTTTGTGATATAGGGCATTTGACATTGAATTCTCAGAGAATTCAGGGATGTTTGGGGGGACATAGGTGATATAGTGCATGCAATTTTCTCTTGCAATTTTCTCCATTATGCAACCCCTGTCCCTTTGTGTTGAGATTAGAGGAAGACAGATGTGGCTTTGTTTCCACATGTTTTAGTGTTCTTTAGATTTATAAGCTACGTCTGAATCGATACGTCGTTTGCACATTCATCCCAGTGAAGCAAAAGCCAACAGGCTCATGTGCTGTGCCTCTGCTGATAGTGAGTTAGTACACAAAAGACTGTATGGAGGAGAGAGAGAGAGAGAGGGGGGGGGGGTAGACTACAGACAGGTTACGCAATCAGCCATAATTAACAACATGCAGTTGAGAAGAGAAGGATTGCATTAGGGTATTCTAACACTGGTTCCCTAATTAGGGTTAAGGTCGGGATCCCTTAGGTTATCACAAGTCACAGAGGGGAGCCCTGAGATGATTTCAATTAAACAAAAACATTTCAAACCTTGGGAATTGGGGATTTTCAAAAATGGGAATATTTTAGCCAATTCAATCAACGTTGTGATTTTCTTTGTTACAGCAGGTTAATTAATAGTAGCATAGAATAGTTTTTGGAAAGCTTCAGTCATCTGGAAGGATGGGCGTCCTGGGTCTCTAGCACCATTACGTTGGTAGTCAGGGCTGAAAAGTCTGAGAACCCCCGTTCTAGAAGTTCAGCTGTCTAAATATACATGGTGGACTCACAGGGGCAGCATCACTTTCTGTTTCCTTATAGTCATTAAATGATAAATATGGATATTCTCCCCTTCAAAAAAAGCTCTTGTTTCAAGATGAGGCAAGTCACCCTTTGTGTGAGGAAGAGAGACAAAGCTCTACAGTTCACATTGATAAGAAAACACAGTTTATATGACCAGCACCTCTGAAGGTTGTTCATGTTATGATTAGAATGAACATTTGAAGTGGATGTACTGATGCTTATTGTGCAGCAGGTCACAAAGAGGCTCTATTACTGCCCTGTCTCACTTCGAGCTGATGAAATGAGTTCTTAATGTGATGTGTAAGTAGCAAGTTTTGATTCATGGAGAGCAAAGGGTAAATAGGAGAGAAGGGGTTTTCATTCAGCTATTGGCTGAGTTGCACCTATTTTCTTCAGCTTTAATCTTCTTAATAACTTCTTGGTACAAGTTGGATAAAACCCCTTTCTGTTCTGTTCTACAACCGGAGCTTTTGTATGTTCACATGCTTTTGGGCGAAGAGCCCACAGTATTACAAGTGCATACTTTGTTGGAGCATTGTTAAGTTAATTGTCGAGTTAAATCCTTAGATGTGCATTCTAAAGTGAAGGATTACATGATTACATGAACATGAGACTGTTGTATCTAGTTTTAATTATCTGTTTCAGTGGGAGATAAAACAAAGCCCTGAAGTGACAACATAAAACATCCCTATTGTGTAGCTTTCTTGCTTTGGGACACTGTCAATAACTGCCTCTATAAGAAAATATAGACACGAGTTGTGTGCGTTATGTCAATAAATGTCCATGTTGGAATAAATAAAACCCTTTACGTCATAAAGAAGCCACAGAGGTCACATAATTAAATAAAGTGTATACAATTTCAGGTTTTCATTATTTAGACAAGAAGCTAACACACCTTTATCAGGCAAGAGGACCATTAGTATGACATCAATTACTTCATTTGTAATGAAGATAACCCTGTTCTTTGTTACCATATACATAGTGGATGGGAGGAGACAGTGTACAGATAATTACTGAGGTAAATTACTCATTGGAACTGAACTGGAAATATATCAAATGTCTGCTACCTCAGAGTGTGTTGGTTTTTCTTTGAGTGACAAAGTGATGGACGCTTGGCCATATGTGTCACACAAGGCTAACCTCTTTCTTAGCTCTTTGAAATCTACACCTGTTCTCCAACAGCACTTCTTTAGTGGTGTGTTCAAGCCTCTTTACTTTGGAGAGTAATGACAAAGGTAGTGTTGTCAACCATCTATCTTGTATCTATCTATAGACTCAACTTTATCACTGTCAACGTTTGGGGTTTGGTTTATTGACAAATACAAAGCTCCTGTCCTCCACAGACCCCAGTGCACAGATGAGCTTCAGCCCACTTTGGTTACAGCCATAAATAATTAACATGTCTGCCCACTTCCTGATGACAGAACAGCATATTACTTCCCTCTCTTATTTTGAAACATTTAAGCGTTTGTTTTTACGTAGAACTTTTACCTCCATCCCAAAGACAAACCTGAGCCATAGATTTATCTGACAACTTATCTGTTACACCTAAAACCTGAGTGATCGTCCCTAAAAAGAAGCAGCCTTTGGACCAGAACAAATAATTAACTTCATGTAGTAGTTTTAATTTGGGATCTCTAGTCTGTAGGGTTGGCCTTGAGCCACATCCTTGTGCGAGAAAGCTTAGCAGGTTCATGTTTGTGTCTACAGGATCCACCCACCCTGCCTCTCAATTCTCCCACCTTCTCTACTCCTCCTCTTCACCTACTCAGTCTATCTTGTCCACTGGCAAACCTGCGTTAAGCACATGGCAAGTCAGGCAAAGCCAGTGGAGTGATAATCCTCTTAGGAGACTCATTGCTCATTTGTCAGTATCCAAATAAAGCATGACCTCATGGGATTTACTGGTGAAGCACACATTCACTCCCTGACCTCCCACTGTGACTGAAAAGATCCGGGACAAGGAGGAAAATACGCATTAGATGTGCTTTTTCACATGAGGCGGGGCGAAGGGCCTTTGAAAATAATGGGGAGAGGATTTGTCTCAGCATCACTGCTGTCTGGTCTCAAAATAGTCAGCTGTTGACAAGAAAAGACTGTTTTCCTGTTACCTGTTGCCTTCAGACTACATTTTACCTTCAAATACATTGAACCTTGTGTAATAGTTTTGCATCTAATTTAAATGTTGGATTGTCATTTGAAACTCAAGTTGTCTTAGTTTACAAAGCCTGAAAGAAAATATTGCTGGAAGAAATCCATGCTAAATCATGCTTGTGTTCTCTGCAAGAATGGGTCTGTACATGATATGGTTACACGCAATTTAAATCCCAGTGAGCTGCATGGGAGCGTAACCACCTGTTTATTTCCCTGCAGTGTTGTCAACTCCAAAACTAAGAATGGTGCCACGCCGCTCTACCTGGCCTGCCAGGAGGGTCATCTTGAGGTTGTCCAATACCTGGTGAAGGATTGTGGAGCCGATCCAAGCATCAGAGCCAATGATGGGATGACACCACTGCATGCTGCTGCCCAGATGGGCCACAACACAGTCATCGTCTGGCTGGTACACTGCAAATCTTATAAACAAATGCAGAATGCATTTATTTTGTCCTTGATTGTATTATACTAAATGATGCAATTAAAAAGACTTTGGAATTCATGTTATGCTATTAATACTAAGTTCTAGTCTTCAGTCTATGTATTTATTATTATTTTGCTTCTAAATGACTGTTCATCAACATCAGAAGTACTTTTACTCCATTATCTAAAATCTTGAAGTGGTTCTGAGGCTCCTGAGTCATGGACTATTGCTATGACATCATGGAAACAAAACATCTCTAATGACACAAGCAAGAACATTCCTCCAACAATCTCAAATAACTGCTCCTCACCTGTAGAGTCCTGACAGTAAAATAACTTGTCTGCTCAAGGCCACAAACAATTCAGAAAAGCCCCAGTCAAAGAAAGTTGTTTGATATAGACTACAAGTGATGCTGCAGTTCTGACCACTTCAGGCTTTTTCCTCTTCTACATACATCCTTTACTTCATCATTCCCTTAACAATGTACTGAATTTCTGTTGTTGAATATGACTGTAACGTAGGTCATTATTCTCCCTCCCTTAGATGAGTTTCACAGAGATCAGCCTGACGGGCAAGGATAGCGACGGGGCCACGGCCATGCACTTTGCAGCCAGTCGTGGTCATGCAAAGGTGCTCAGCTGGCTGCTGCTGCATGGAGGAGATATAGTCACTGACACCTGGGGAGGGACCCCCCTTCATGATGCGGCAGAGAACGGCGAACTGGAGGTGTGTGTGAAACAAGTCAACACAGAAACGTGCTACATGATTTTCATATAGTGAAGATTTGCCACGTGTTATAGTTTATATTAAACACAGTATGTTAGTCAAACCATCCATAATCCACATGTAGAGCTGATTCAGTTGTATCATTATTTCATCTATTATGTCTACAAACCCATATAATACATAAGAAATGTAATAAATTGGCACAATAATATCAAGGCTTTCTATAGATGTATGATATCATTTGACAGGTCAAGTACTTTACCAAACAATATTCACAGAGGTTGTGTCAGAGTGTTTCTCTATGCTCTCTGATTTGCACTGACAAATCTTGACCATATGTTTTGAATGAAAGGCCTCTACCTTATGGTTTACAACTCCGACCTAATACTTTGACTAATGTTTTGTTGTATCAAAGTCTGGTCAGCTCAACTGTTTGTTCCATTGAACCTAAATAGGAAACTGTCCTATTTGATTTATGTTACTGACCATGAAAGTTTAACCCATTATAAAAAGCCATGGGAGGATAATAGGATATTCAGTCAACCATTATCTGCTATAATATATGAGCAAGAATCAGGTCCACAACCTCACTGATCACAGGAGGATATGATCAGTGAGGTTGTGGTGACTAATTCAAATTTTGTGTGGAATAGGGTTACCTATAACCTTTAACAGTTTACATTATGGGGACTTGTTTTTGTCCACATAATGAGGAGGAGTCCCTAGAATGTGAAGTGCGAACAGATTTAGGTCTTATTGAAGTCTTCTTCACTGTTAATGTATTTTTGTTCACATTCTTCCCATTTTTCTATCACTTTGTCTGTTCCTCTGTCACGTCACCGTCCAGTGCTGTCAGATCCTTGTGGTGAACGGTGTGGACCTGGGCATCAGGGACCAGGACGGCTTCACAGCAGCGGACCTGGCCGAGTATAACGGCCACTCCCAGTGTGCCAAGTATCTGCGCACTGTGGAGAACATGGTAAGAGACACAGCGACGCCACGCTGCATTCTGGGACCTAGAGAAAACTATATAATTTATTTTCTTTTACAGCTTTTCTCAAATATTTACTGTTTTTGTCAAATTTATATTTTCACCTGCCTTTCAAATCTCCCAGAGTACAAAATCTGAGTGCTGACAAAAGCGAAGTCTTTGGTTGATGTAATTAAACTACAACTACAACTATAAGATATATCAGGGGAGTCATAAGCAGACTGCTTCATTTCTCAAGTCAAGAAGGCTTCAGTTATTACAGTGTTTGTTAAATAGTCAGACACTGGTTGGGTTCTCATTAAACATGGAGACACATGTCTTACCAATGTGCTTCATGCATTTACTGTTACTAATTAGTCCATTGGGAGCTCAACTCTATCAAAACAAGACATTATTTGTTCTAGACAGAGAAAATCCAGATGGGTATAAATGCCGCCTTGTTTGTTCCATAAGTAGCACAAATACCTAGAAATTAAAAGTATCATAGCTGCTACAGTGACATTTGATGAACAAACTGCAGTCAATATTCTGCATATTAAGTTAAAATGAAAATTATAATCTTGAAAAACACTTTGCAGACTGAGCCAACGTGTTTCTTGAGTGACATCAGTTTTTCTCAGCTAATTACAGCAGATACTAGAGTTATAAACACTTGAGCTACAGAGGCCTCCATAGCTTCAACCCAGTGAAATCCCCAACTGGCCCAGGGAATAATAACTCCTGCACACTGAACTGTCTCTGGTGTGCAGGAACCCCTGCCCCCACTTCTATTCTTCCCACAGGGGACATCCAGCCAACTGAGTCCCGCACTGAGGGGAAAAGCAAAGGGCCCCTGAGTCTTTCTGATCAGCTGTGAGACACGTCATTAGTGTGCAGTAATTAAACTCATAAAGCTGTTCTCCTCATGTAACTCATCAGGGACTGAGAGGAGGTGGGCTGGGAATTTGTGAATGAAAAAGATTGTTTATATTAATAATAATTCAATAATAAGCAAGCTGTTGCCGCAGAGACAAAAGTTTCCCGGTCTGATTCCCGGTTAGGCCAGGGTCTTTAATGTGTATGAGTTGGATGCTTCCTCCCATAGTCAAAAAACATGCAGATTATGGTGAAGCTAGTTGAAGACTCTAATTGCTCTTCGGTGTGAATAAGAGTGTGAATGGTTGTTTGTCTCTGTATGTTGGCCCTGTAATTAACTGGCTCCAGCTCCCCCCTGTGACCCTCAAAGAATAAGTTGAATAGATAGGTGAAGGATAATTCATTTTCTAATAGCACTAAAAGCAACTAAATTAAAATGAACCAGACACATTTTTATAATAAGAAATTAATTGAGAATAAACAGTTGTTTTTGTAGTTTTTATAACTGTGTGAATCATGTCCACTCACATCCTCCGACAGAGCGTTGAGCACCGTGTTTTGTCCCGGGACCCCTCAACCGACCTGGAGTACAAGCAGCCCGACTCGGGCCTCTCGTCCCCGAACACAACTATGCCCCCTGCCAGCCAGGTGGCACACTTTGACATCAGTTCACCATCCAGCTCCCTGTCCAACTACGACTCAGCCAGCTCCAGCCAGTCCAGCACCGGGGAGAAGAGGAGCAGCTTAACAACGTCTCGAGGGCCGCCTGCTCAGCTGAACACAGTTGCACACACAGGTTGGAAACCTTTTAAACCTAAGACTAGAACAGGTGAACCATGTCATGACTGGAAACACACTTAGCACAATGTTTTTCTTTCAATCAAAGGAGGTTTATGTGAAAAAACAAGCTTTGCAGTTTTCAATCATAAATCCTCACTGGTTGTTTGTTGCATGCCTCAGCTATTTACTGAAGTAGAGCTAACAACATGCAGCAAATGTGTTTCCAATTGTTCTGGGTCACAGGTGCATGATATACTGGTGCTGCACCCTAGTGGTCTGTTAAGGTTTGTTAAGGATAGAGAGGTGGACCAACCAAGTAAATCACTCTTGTGTGAAAATTGAATGGAGTAAACGACCGATTTACGTAATGCTCTCAATTGTTTAACATGTTTGGGTTCCTGTAATAAAACTCAGGTCTACAGTAAACATGCCAACGAGGCCATGTCTTTTCACAGGTGCATCAGAGTCGGCCATTTCAGACATGCAGGCATACATGGACATGCTAAACCCAGACATTGGCTCTGACGTGCTAAAAAAGGTGGACATACCGGCCGATGCCACCACAAAGGCCCCGCCACCACCGACCTATCCACCCCCACCTCCCCCACTGTCTCCACCGCTGCCACCTCCGCCTCCGGGCTACCCAGCACCCCAGCCCCCTCAGGAGCCGACATCAGCAGAGTTCCTGAAGGTGAAGAGCAACCTGCGGCATGTGGAGAGTAATGCCAACAAGAAGGAGGTAAGGTGGTGAGCTCCTACATGGATTCAAGAGATGAAGCTGTTTATATCTTGAGCATCAGAGCTGTGCAAAGATTTTCTTGTCTGAGTTGCATTTTCTGTTGGGATCCCTGGTAGTTCTTTGTCCATCAAACAGATGCACTGTACAGAGGAAGATTTGTCATATAACGATAAGCAATTAGGAGAAGTGATTCCTGGTCTTTCACATACAGGATGATAATGCATGTCTAATAGTTTCATAGCTTAAATACACACACACACACACACACACACACACACACACAGACAATTTATTAAAACTCTAGATATCCAAAGAATTAACATGAGTGTAATGGAATAATCCTAAACAAGCAGAGGAACCATGGTGTTTGGGATAAATTGGCCCTTGATGCCATATTCCCCTGTGTCTAATAAGCTGGGCTGTTGCTCTGATGTGTAACAATGTGCTTTGTCTGGGTGCTCACAATGATGTTATTGTGTTAGCATAGTTAACGAGGCTAACGAGGATGCTCATTACCGTGACAGGCCTCTGGGTTGACACACAAAGGTTGTTGTGATGGGTTCGATCTTAATTCCAGTAATTAATCTGGATCTGGCCACAGATCACTCAGATGTGTATAAAGAGCTGACCAGAAGGAGCAATTAAAACTCAACAATAGTTTTGGGTGAAGTATCTTGTCGTTCAGTGCTGTTGTAAACTACATACAAACTGGATGTGAAGTTGTATTTCTAATTGAATTGAAAGACAACTAATCTGAGGGATCACTTTCACCTCATGAAGGATTTATTCTCTGATTGTTACCATGTGACATCTGTCCAACACAATTGCTTCATAGCTTCAGCCAAACACAACACAAGATACAGATGTGAGGGTTTTTTTGTGTTGGTTTTCAATCCTAAGTGTTTTATTTATAACAGAAGAAAATAATAGTTTGAAATTATTTTTGAATCTTGTATGTAGTAAATGTCAAATGCCCCATCTCGAAAAAAAATGGAGAAATTATTCCAAGGGACATATGCGGGGATGGTTGGGGAGGGGGTCCGCCAGAGTATTTTCTATCTTGTAGGGGGTCCTTGGCTAAGGAAAAAATAGAGAACCTCTGCAATAAAACTTTGGGTTGCGGCAGATCCATCTGATTTGCAGGGGAAAATCTTTTGTTCAGACAAAACACAGAGGTCTGTTTGTACAGATCTGCCATTCAAAGTGCCCTTTAGCTGTTAAAGTCCACAAGCAGCGACAGTGTCCCGTCTCCCGGGTGAGCTCTGTGTCTTCATGTGTGCACGCATGCCCCATCAGCTACGTGGGAGAGACTTTAATTAGTGCCGCCCCCTCTCCTCTCTGTACCCAGGTGACCGACCCGGGGCGCACCCTCATTAACAATTTAACTAGGAGGAACATGCGCGCGCACACACACAATCAAGATTAGTGTGTACTATATACATTGGGAAAAACAATCTGCCTTGGGCGCCATAGTAACAGGGAACAGTAACCTCATCCAGGGACAAAGTAGATCAGATAGATCAATCTCACAGCCTGCAGATAAAGTGTAGAGTCCAACTCTTATTGAATCATTAAAAAGGACAGAGTAGCTAAACTGTTAAATGATGGTTTGAGTAAAATAAGTTTCCTGTGTTTTGTTTGTTTCTCTCCTCATTTGCAATTTGTATTAGCTTTGACTAAAGTCAAATGTTTCTTGTGGTGCAGGTGACGAAATTGTTTCACCACATATCATTTATTCTTTATAATTTTTGTAGTCCCTCCAGAAAAGCTGGACTGTAATAAGCAAACTTTCAGACATTATTGTGGCATTGAAAACTATTGTAATATAATCATCAACTGTGAGATTTGCGTGCAGCCAGCCATGGTGAGGGCAGCACCAGGGACTTTGTGTTTTGCATAAGAGACATTGGGAGTGGTTGGTCTGTGGGCTCCGGGTGACATCATTGTCACTGCTGTGGACAGCCCGATAGGTTATTGATGAGGCCTGTGCGTAAAGTGAGAGGGTAGGTAGAGTGGCAGGTGTAGCGCCGAGTGGAGAGGTGGTGACCACTACTCTCTGTGCTTTGCTGAGCTGAAGGCTCTGTCCAGACTGGAGCAGAGCTACAGGGGAGGATTTCTAACCCTAAGGTAAGATGTTAAGTTACTAAAGGATTTGTTTTTCACTAGAGGCAAAGGCGATGTAGAAGAAGATGCAGTAAACATTACAAGTTTCTTTGTCAATTTTGACTTATCTCCAGCTTCTGCAGCTGTTCTGTTTGAGATGCTGCACGGCTAATTGCGTTGCATCTGTTATTTTTAATTGTCTACTTTGACTCTGTTTTGATTGTTGTTTAAAAATTGCAGCCTATACCTGTTATAGCATAACTATTATAATCTGAGGCTTTTGCAAAACCGCATTCAAACATAACTGAACCATGTCAAGCGGTAACCAGGCTAAATGATCTCTCATGTTGCATACAAAAACTGTGTAAGAACAAATATATAACAATGACTTTATGATGACAGACAGATCCACATAATAGGGCGATAGCTTGTCTGTGTGTGTACGTCTGTGTGGGGGATGGGAAGGTGCCGCTAATATGCTTTGTGCATTTGCTATTGTCGGCCCACCTCCCCGGAGGATGACAATGAAACCATCTGTAGCGCTCGCCTGCTCACATTACCCTCCCACCTGATGAGTGCTGAAGGACCATTTCTTTGACAGCAGACATGAGTCAACAAAACTAACACTGGTTGATAAGAACTCAGAACACGACACCACAAAAGGAGGAGAGGTCAGGGGTCAGCTGTCAATTAATTCCTGCTGACGTTCACCCAGGACACCTGCTTGATGTCTGAGCCTCTCGATTTTGTGAGAAGTTATGACAGCCATAAGCATTGAAGATGTAAATTAGCTTACGTGAGATTTGAATGTCAAAGTAACTTTATATTTTCCTATGCTGACTAAGCACACTTGTAGTTGACAGTTTTGAAGGTTACTTTTTCAAAATATATTGTAAAAAGGGTCTGTTTCACATTCAGGGTTAGCTGACATTTGGGATGATTACGTTACCGAAAGTAATTTCTTGGGAAAAGGTTTCATGCAAAGTTAATTTTGCAGAGAAATTCATGCAAATGCAATGGTTTTGCATGAGCGAAACATCAGCACATTGACTCAGAGATGCATTTTAGTCAAAATGACAAAAATGCAAAGTGAACTTATTCCTTGGTAATATCTGAGAACCCTGAAATATTTAGAGTCTGATCTAACAGCAGCAAACAGTGACGACTCCTCATTGACAGAAGTTTAATATTCTGCGTTCACAGCTCCAGGTTCAGATAGATGTCAGATGTCGGAAAGTAAGAGTGCTCAACTAAAACAGCCGAGTTAAACATCTGACTCCGTTTTGTGGATAGAGGGGTCTCTCTTACACCGGACCTAAAGCTGCATGTGTGTAATCTTAACATGAAACATGCTCCTTTTACATATACTGAATCAAAGCCTTGTTCTCTTACTCAAATAAAGCTGCTTTGGTCACACGAGAGAGCTAATCTGCCAACAAAACCCACTAAGAATATTTAACAGCGCGTGGTTTCACAATAAAAAGTTCACCACAAAAGCAACATTCAATCCATAAAAATCTATTTCCCATCTTTTTATGATTCTGTTCCCTTGTCTATTTTTGTTTTAGAAAAAAAAGATGAACTATATACATATTTATTTATTACTGAATAAAATGTAACTAATTTGTGTTTCGCATCGTGAACTTGCTGAATATCAAATTTAACTTCCCATTTCCTGTAATAAAAAGAAATGTACTACCTTGTATGTAGTCTTTGGTTGTAAATAAGACATATCACTGATTAATCTGCTGATTGTTTTGATTGCTGATCCAAAAAAACCCAAATATACTGTTGCTATCATAAAACAAATAATTCCAGGGAATCCTCACATTTCAGAAGCTGGAACCAGGGCGTTAATCAAAACATATCATAATTCATTGGATTGAGTAATTATAATTTCTCAAATCCCAAGGTGCTAGAAACAATACAATACATGTCTTTTACGCAAATCTGGGGAAAGATTTTATAACATCCAGTTGGAACTATATGTAAAGCCAAGTCATTTATAACTCTCACTGAATTTTTAACATTTGTTATCTCTATCTCTTAAGCAGCTCACCATTGGAGAGAACCACGAGAAACTGCGGCGTGTGGATTCAAACAGGAAATCAAGGAGCTTCAGCAAACAGCCCAGTACTGGGGACTACTATAAGACCCTGGGCAGTGACACGGCAGAGCCCCGGGGGAGCAAAAGCATGGCACCCAATGAAGAGGTATGACAGATCACTACTGTTCAATGTTGTTGCATCACACAGCATCAGGTTCTTTAAGTACAGTAAGCACAGTGGCATGGAAACTATGGGTACCTGTGGTCAAAAATTATGATAACGTGAGAGTCTAAATAAGTTAAAGATGACCCAATTTCCAAGAGGCATAAAGATAAGGATGACACTTTATTTAAAATTACAAAAAAGATCTATAACAAAAGTGGTCAGTACTAATTTCCATCTACTTTCAGAGCTTGTAGCACATTTCTTTTAGAAGCTAAGAGTCTTTCAGTTCTCGTTTGGAGGATTTTTCTTCTGGTCGTTCTCTATAAAGCCTGAGATCATCATGCACTGCTTCCTTTTGAATTTTGGATAATGTTTAGGTCTGCTGACCTAGGTCAATAACAAAACCTTCAGCTTGGGCCTTTTGAAGTAATCCTTTGTGAATTTATAGGTGTAGTTAGGATCATTTCCCTGTTGTAGAAGCCATGATGCTCGTTTCATCCTAACTTTTGTGCAGATTTGTAATGTTTGCTTCCAGACATTGAATCAATTCTTTAAACTTTTCTTATGAGACAGGTTGTAACCAAACCATGCCAGATCCACTCTCGTGCTAAACAATTGGCAAGGTGTTATTTTCTCTAAGTTCATCCTTCCACAGTACTCATTCCCAAAACACATCAGGCTAATTTAGATGTGCCTCTGCAAACGTCTGATACAGGAAAGATTTTCTTCTGATGACTCTGATGATTAATAGCTGTATACTGCTTGAAGGGTATCAACAAGCACTGACCTCATGTAGATTATTTTAAAAGAGGATGGTGAAACACTGCGCACTATATGTGTATCCATTGGGAGATAATCTCTCAAAACCACATCATCTCACAAGTTAGTTGTCTTTGATGTGGTGTAACTTAATTCAGAGCAGCGGCTGATTCCAGATCAGCATTGATATTGTGTTTTTGTTTTGCTTTTTAATGGCTACATTTCACAAACAATTTAAACTTTACTGTCTAACATAGCATAAATTGTAAATTGCAAGACAATAGAATATGGGCTGAAATTCAAAGGAGGATGTTGGTATAGGTTTTAAAACTGGTAACTAACAACAGCTGCCTCTGTTGTACTGTGCTGTGTGGGCATCTCAGCTCCTTACAAGGTGTCTTTTCAGGATTAGGTTTGGCCGGGTGACGGCATGTTGGCATTCGGTTACCACTCTGGCTGCTGCACTATTTGCCTGTGCATTATGCTACTCAGCATGTTACATAATCTTGTGTCTTCTTGAGCTGTTTTTCCCCCCACCTGATGCAAATACTTCCTCATTTCCATCGTCTCTTGAGTGACCACTCTGTTGTGTAAACTTTGCAAGAACCTACGACAGAACAAACCCGGGACAATTACAGACAGAGCAACAGGGATTCAGTAACCAGAAAATACATCTAGGGCTAATGATCTGTTTTATACATAAGTGTGCGTTAGTCCCAGCTCATGATATTCTTGTGATTTGTTGTATTAATTTCTCTTATCTTGAATTGAGGTCTCTGAGCTGGCATTAGTTGCTGTTGCTCTGGAATAAATTTTCTTGTGAAAACATGTTTGGACAAAATGCAACATTACTAGTAAAAATAAACATTTCTTTTTGAATGTAACCTTAAAGATTTATCAAAGAAAATTTCTGACTATGACTTCAGGTGTTCCAAGGTTATTGGTTTAAACCTGTTTGCTGCTACATGCCAGCACAGGCATCTGAATGAAGAGAGTCTGTTAGATAGTCATCAGTGTCCCAGGGGATTATAATCTCCTGGGTATCAGGGGTGGGGGTGTTCAGGGTGATACAGGGTATAATCCACATTTAGCCAATTAAAGCCTCAGTGGGGACTTCCTGGTCTCAGAGGCACCGTAGCAGATGGACAGGCTAATCAACAGGAGCAACGGCACGTGCTGCCAAGACCCATCTGGACATGCCCCCACTCCCCAGGTCTCTGGGGGGTATGAAAAGTAAAGGGGGCAACAATGATGAGCACGCGTCTGAAGAATACAGGAGGGGCGGGGTCGAGTTAAACGTCACGGCCTATTAACTTGCATCCAACAGGGTTATGGCACGCTTTCAGAGTGTGTCAGACGCGTGCACGCTGGGGGAGTGCAGGGCGTGGGGGTTAAAGCACTATCACTTGCAGTGACAGATGGCGCCTTCTCACAGTTTTCCCTGTGAAGTTCTCCCGAGAGATTAGATCATATTAGCGTCATTATTAGCAACAGGGTATTATGTCTTTATGGGTTGATTAAAGATGGCAGGAAGCAGAGGGAAGGGGGTTCTATTGTGCTGTATACATCTGTCACAGTCAACAGTCGGTGTGCAAGAATTTAATGATTGCTCAGCACAGCAGGAGTTTGAGCTGCAGGCCAATGCAGGCAGGGAAGCCAACTCAATGTCACATTCATTTATTTGATTTATTCATAAACTCATTTATTTGTTTTCAATGTGTGAATAAAAACAATTCAATTATGTTTATGTTTTAATAAAATAAAATCTGATAAATGAAATGCAAAAATAACACTAATTAAAAAAAGCAAAAAATAAAGATTTGTTATTTTAATTAATTATCAACATTAAAGTGTTTTTAAAGTGAACTGCATGGTGCACCCGTCTCATTCCTGTTAGCAGTGACCAGACAGGGGACAACGGATAAATACATTTAATATGGTTGCTAAGAGAGTCCAGCAGGGGTTACTACAACAAGTGAATGGTTTAAAACATGACGGACTAATTCTGCCCCCGTCCCTCCCTCTTTCCAGGGCTCTGTGTTATTGGAGGAGCCAAACGACAGTCCCGCCCACAGCTCTGAGAATGGCACCACGGAGGAATCGGTCCCGCCCCCGCCTCCACCACCTCCACCGCCTCTTCCCCCAAGCAACCCAACGCCAACCCCCCCTCCACCTCCTCCACTGCCCCCAGAGATGCCAACCACCCACAATAACGCCAGTTCCACCTTCACCAACCAGCGACGCCCATCCTCCTCATCAGGAAGTGAGTGTTCCTAAAAAATGTCCCCTCCATCCTTTCAATTTTTTGTTTCCCTTTATTTCCTACTTGTTTTCTAAGACTCAACATATATTCACAGTCTTTAACAAAGAAGACAACACATTTATTCATAGTCTTTTGAATGAACATTGCACAACTATTCATAAAAGGATCATGTGCACATGTAAATCTCATTGGGTACAGATGAGTTGAGTCTGACCCTTGCATCCTAAATAACAGATTATAAATTAATGATGTTGGGTTTAGATTACCCTGACAACTGGTTTAGTATTCATCCATTTCCTTAAGTGCCCCGCTGTCCTGGATGCTGCTGTCTGATAGTGAACAAGCCTGTTTTAGATACAGGGAAATTTTAACTGTGAAATGTATTGTTTTTGTTAAGTGTTTAAAATTAAATGGGAATCAGGGGTGGGGGTGTTCAGGGTGATACAGAGTATAAACCACATTTAGCCAATTGAAGCCTCCTAAAATTAAATGTAAAGGAGCCCATGAATCTTGAAAAAGTGCAAGGCTGAAGAATTATGGGGTGAAATGCAGCAGTTTGACCAAAATACACAAATTGATTCAAGATTCAAAAGGTTTGTTAACATTTGTTGAACATCTTTAGTGGGCTGCATGTCATAAAATCAGTAATCCCTGCTCAAATTAATTTCAATTCACCATTTCTCACCGACATACCACAAAAGACTTTACAGAAAGACATTCTGCCCTTTTCTAATGAATCGATAATCAAGCAATAGCAAAAACAATAAATTATATAATAAACAAAGGCCGATTTAGCACATAGGTATGAAGGACCCATAAGAAATCTACATAACTTTGTCCAGTCAACCTCAAATAAATAAACCATCAAAAACATCGGGTCTGTGTAACTGGTGCTCAGACGTCAATCAACAGTATCATGCTGATAATTGACTGTGACACAAGCTAAAAAAAGGGCTGAGTAATAACTCAATAATTATTGCAATACAATCTTAATCAATAACAATATAAAAAAGTCCAGTATATATCGATATAATGCTTATGCACTGTGCAGTGAGGAGATAATACATCATTGATGTACCTCGTATTTATAAAATGTTCAGCTGTTTGTCAAGTGTTTGTCTTTTGTGAGTCTAATCTTTTTTTCCCCATTATCCCTTTAATATACGTCTCTTCTACCTACATGTTCCCTCTTTCACCTGCTCCATTTCCACTTGTTTCTCTCCCAATTTTTTTGGTTTGTTTGATTTCTTTTTTTGCATGCCATGGTTTTTCCTCACTGCTGCTTCGTCAAGGTGGGGATATTTCCGCCTCTCAAGCAGAGGGAGTGGCACTAAGACAGATGAAGAGTAAGTACAGATTGCCAAGCAGTCTTTCAACTAAATCAGTTCATTCAGTTTCAGCTTATACATCACATTTAACAACAGGCCTCCACACATTCCTCAGATGATTATAAGACCTTAGAAGTATTTGGTCTGTGTCGTTGACCTATTTCAAACAGCAGTGAATCAACTTGTGTATGCAGCTTTTTACAGCAACAAGTTGTTCTAAAAAAAAAGATTTTACTGGAAGTAGTGGGTTTTCATTTCCAATAGGACAAAAAGCCCATTGTTCAAAAGAAATAGAAGCGTGTAGATAGCCTGACATACAACATGGCTCAGCAGACAAAAGAACAACACCTACAGGAAGAAGCTAAATCACCATTAAGTCAACAAGTGAACACCACAATTATCTTCAACAACAACCCATCTGATTCATCTGGACTGTGGCAACAATTAATCACGTTCCAACTACAACTTATAATGTTCTGTTTATTTTCCTAAATTTTTGCCAATATGAAAAACAGCCATCACAGAAGGAATTATTTCCATTGGACAAGATAAAATATTTACAGTAGGAAATATTTTGTCTATTTGTTTCCTTAAAAGAAGGTTTTAAATATTTATTATCACCAGGGTCAAGTATTTCAATTCACATCACATTAATTGAGCTGTAAATCATTAATTTAAGCATCTTGTTACACTTTGTTTGCTAAATATCCCTTTGTGCCATTTATTTATGTTCCACCTGCTGCCTAATGGCTGGACAGCAATAAAACACTTAAAGAGCAGTGTATGTTCAGTAACGGCATGATTTGTGCTGCACCGTTAATCCGGTAATAAACAGGCAGTTAGGTGGTCATAAAATTAAAAACAATCGACATATCCAAGTGCTCAAGAAGAAGCTCAGATAGTGAGACAACAGCAACACAACAGGTGGCAGAGAGAAAACGCTCTTCGTGAATAGTTCAAAGCTCTATTGTTTTCCATTGATAAGAGGGACGAGGATTGCAGTTTTTATATTGTACAGGATGCATCTTTATGTTTAGCACTAAAGAGCAGCGAGTGCTCTCTAATTATATGATTAGTTCTGTAGCATTAACAAGGTAATAAACAGGCATTTAGGTGGTTGTAAAATGAAATGAAACCAACACATCCCAGAGCCCAAGATGAGTTTACAGCTCAGATGCTGATTGAGAGGAAGGCAACACACCAGGTGGCAGATTTAAAATGCTGCAAGATTGTAATGGTTAGAGGTCCACTATTGTTTGCACTGATTAACAGGATAGAGTGGATCCTACTTTTTTTACGAGACATTTACAGAACACAACTATATCTGATTGCTTTGCGACCGCACAGCTGTTAACAGATACAGCAGCTCGGCTGCTCTTTTAACCCAGAGCAGAAAACTTTGTGCTGTGATGATGAGAGGCCATTTGTCAAATGTTCTCGACCTGTCAGAGCTCCACCCTCCTCTGCATTCACTGTGACAGACCTGCTCAGTACACACCCCTAGCCCAAACAGAATTTAACTCGCACGCATACACGGCCTTTGACTTAACACATGCATATGGAGGTGTAGTGAAACTGGTGTGAGCTCACCAGCTTGAGTGCAGCATAACTTTCCAGTCTTACACATCTTACTGTGGATACTCAGCCATAAATGGGTGAAGGTAGGCTCTTTATAATGCCAATAGTTTAAGTTGCACGTATTGGATGCAATAAAAGTTTTATAATTCTTTGCTCTCACGCCATTCATCTGTCAATGAAGATTTACTGAACAATATAACTTGCTGACTGAACATTGAAGGAGCTGTCACATGTTGTAAAAGTGTGTCAGGGTTCAACAGTTGTTTCTTTTATCTGCAACCTTTTTACCAGGAAAGGTGTGCGTGTGTACAAGTGTTTAAAGATATAATGGATTGTATAATGTGTGAAGGATGTTGTTGACCAGTCTCTCTCCCTCTCGTAATTCAGTAAATGTGAGGCGAGACTGTATGCTTGTCATCAGTGCATGTGTGAGTCAGTTGTGTGAGGTTTTTTGTGGATGGGAATGGTCCAGTAGGGTGGACTAACGAGCTGGGGATTGAAGGGTAACTTTGTGTGTGTGTGTGTGTGTGTGTGTGTGTGTGTGTGTGTGTGTGTGTGTGTGTGTGTGTGTGTGTGTGTGTGTGTGCGTGTGCTTGCAGCTGACAGAATCTGTCCAAGTGTGCGCGTGCGCGTGTGTTAATTCCTGGCCAGCTTGCCATTGGCTCGCTGTCACTTCCAGTTACTGGTGATTCCTTTAGATTTCCCCCAACTGTGATGATGGTTCTTTAATAGAAAGCTGGTCTCTCCTCCCCGAGAGAGAGAGAGAGAAAGAGAAAGAGAGAGAGAGACAGAGAAAGGGAGAGCGCGTGAGAGTGAGGAGGGGTGGCAGGCTAGTGAAGCTCTATGTCCAGCAAGACCCCATTGTGGTCGCCTCAACAGGGAACATTTTTACGAGTGGACTTTATTCCCCAAGTAGAAAATGAGAGATCAATGAGGCATTGAAGAAATTCAATTCATTGGAGGTTTACATTCAAACAGGTGAGGTACTGTCGCTGTTCAATCTTAATGTATTTGAGCCACAATGTGTGAAATTTAAATGTTGTAAAACTACATGTGTAGCAGCTATAATTTTGGTTTATTTGTAAATTACATTAACATTAACATTAATTATGTTTGATTTTGATATTTTACAGTAGACATACAAGTTAAAAGCTACTTGTATGAATAATGCTAAAATAACAGCTACATTGTTCTATATTTTTATACATTTCAATTGTTTTGCTGTTTGTACGTATTTGAATAGGGTTGTCATGTAATACTATCACCATTTTGAAATGTTGCTTATTGATAGATTCATGTGGCCTCACATAGAAGCACTACTTTGCCTGATTGACATTTCAAATTTCATGAATTATCTGAAAACAAAGTTCCTCTGTGTATTATTAGAGGTTAGAGTTGAAATCTGTCTTAAATTGCTCATTCTTCACTATAAGCTGATTAGGATCCATGGAAGCTGAATGTTTAGATTTTTACATTAACCTACTTTTTAAAAAGATGAAAGCTCAGCTGCAGCTTAACTGTGTATATTAAAATAGGGCAAAACTAGACAGAGATTGTGCGCCTCCTCTCTTTGGACTCACTGTAGTGAAATGATTTGGAATTGCTCCTCCCCATCTAATCCTGGCTCAATGCAACTGATGCAATGGTTGCCTGTTGTGCCAAATTCTCACTGGTTTATTTGCAAAGTCAGTAACATCAGTTGAGATGTAAATCCTTCTTTTAGACGCCTTTTTTACAATCTATGTATTGCACTTTGTTGACCAAATATCCAATTGTGTCGTTTATGTTCCACCTGCTGCCTAATGGCAGGACAGCAATAAAACACTTAAAGAGCAGACAAACGCAACAAAACAGGTGGTAGAGAGAAAATGAAGTTTCTGCAAATGGTTAGAAGGACAAATATTGGAGCAACTTAAAAAATTCAGTTCAGTTACATCAACTGATGTAATTAATTTGAACAAGTCAAACAAATTATAACTTTAATTTAAAAACGTGACAAATTGTGGTATTTTTTCGAAGTTGATGAACAATTTTCTTTTGTCTGTGTACTCTGTTGTTTGTCTTTGAAATATATTGTGAGGTAGCTGGTTGACCATTTGATTAATCCAAAGACGGTTGAAGAGGTTTAAAAGAAAATAACATGATGAAACCAAACAAATCTAAAAAGAAATAAACGCGTCCATGAGACAGTGGCTCAGTACACCACAGTGACCTCCCATGACTGTCCAATCTGCTCCAGGTCAGCATTGTTACCTGCCTGATCGGATGAAATATTTAACACTGAAATGCCACCCAACCCCTCTCTCACTCCCTCTTCTTCAGTGAGTCTCTCTCTCCCTCTCTCTCTCACTCCATTCCTTCTTTCTGTCTACCTGGTTTCACTTTTCTGCTCTGTCCTTTTGTCTGCAGGTACAAAATCTTTCAACATGATGTCCCCCACTGGCGACAACTCGGAGCTGCTGGCAGAGATCAAAGCAGGAAAGAGCCTGAAGCCCACACCTCACAGTAAAGGCTACACCACTGTGTTCTCCAACAGTGGACCCACGGGCAACAATGTAAGTCCACTACTGATGATACATTTATGTAACATTCACTGTAAATTACAAAATGGCCACTTTTAGAAATGTAGGCATGGTTTTTGCCATTTTTCTCTGCCCCCATTTAAATCAAGAAATGCAAACTGAGTTGAAACTAATGCACAAGACACAGAAATGAAGTAAAACAATCGAAGGGGCAACTAGATCTATAGAAATTGTATATATTTATTAAGGTCATCAGATGATCTGCAAAGAAAAACACCACCTGCAATACTTTTTTCAAAATATATTGCATTGTTCCCTCTAAATGGTGCATAACCGTTATGACTGCCATCGTCCCTAAAGGCTGAGGAGTAACTGTCACCTTATGAAGAGTCAACATGGTCAGCATGGTCTCCACAAAATGTAGCATTAACCTTCAGCTCAGTAAAGGATGAATAAAAGATGGATCAGCTCTCTCAGGAAACTGGTTCATGTATCGTGATCTAAAGAAACCTCTACATCATGTGACACATTTAATGTGCCCAGCAATGCTTAGTAATGTATTCTGGCTTTATTTGTCCTAGGATGTAAAGAAGACTGGTTGTTAAAGAAAATAAATCCAGTAATCAGTTGTCTTGTGACCCATGCTCCTCTGTGTATCTTTGTTTTTATTTTCCTCCAGGGTAATGCTACATCTCCACCAGAGACACGCAAATCTAGCCCACCAGCCAAACCATCATCTCCACCACTATCCAATACGCCTGTCACTTCCCCACCCACCACCCCAAGTCCCAGCCCTAGTCCTACAGGCTCTGGATCTGGCAGAACCATATCGACCTCTGTGAGCTACGAGCAACTGCCCTCTAACTCTGTGATCAATGGGAACAGTGGCGGTGGTGGTGGCACTGCAGGAGCAGAGTCGGGACGGAAGACCAGCCTTGCTGACGTGGAGGCGCTAGTGCCTACTCATGATGAACAGGGAAAAGCAATACCTGAATGGAAGAGGCAGGTGATGGTGCGGAAGCTTCAGGTCAAGATGCAAGAGGAGGACGAGCACAAGCGCAAGGTAGGCATAGAGCTGCAAGGCTTCACTAAGGTCCAGATGTTTTGTTGTGTCTTAGCTATCCCCATTTGTGGTCCTGTAGATTTTAAATGCATTGTAATCTTGATGGCTACAGTTAGTTTCAAATAATTACCACCACAAAGGGGATAACAGGCATTTGAATTTGAGTGTGGTCTTTTGTGGTTTTGAACAACAAGGTTGTATTAATATGTTTTTAATATATTCATGCATGACGTATGTTTATTTGACTTGTTAGTCAGTCGGTTATTTGAGGGTGAAGTCAAGAAGCTTAAATGTTCATTTGGTACCAATGCATGACAGTTGAAGGAGATTATTGAATTACGGCTTTTTGAGCATTTCTGCAGGTAATAGCCACCACCTTCCTTATTCTCATCATCAAAACAAATTGCCAGAGCCTAAGCTGCCCATGGTTTCAGTCAAATACTGAAATGTCGTTCTAATTTTGATAATCTGGTATCCCCCAATTTCTTTTAACTTTTTTTTGCATGTTTACTTTTGATATTTATTGAACAGATGTTTGGATTGCAGTGAACTGAATACTTGGCTACAGTGCCCATCACATCATTAACACACTTGGCGTACGGACACAGTGTGGGCTGGTGTTTGATGGGAGTTTTGCGGCTTCAAGTTGTTACATGCCGATTCAGTGGTGTGATGCCGGACCCATTCACACTACAGGTCAACCAGTAATAATAACAATACAGAAAGAATAATGAGAATTTTACTAACTACATTTGTAGTAAAATACTGAATTTATAATGAACATTATTTGTATAAACTTTTTGGAAAGCAGATCATGACCTTGGTAATTCTTCACCAGGTCTATCATTCAGAAAAACATTTTGTTGCATTGACCTCTCTCGGTTGACAGTTTCAACTCTTGCACCTTTAGCGACAGTATTTTCCTGTCACTGTTGGGTGTGGACTGAAGTGTGTCTGTCAGCTGCACTTGTGCCAGTACCCGACAGTGATGTCACACTGCAGTGTTACATCGTGTTTGGGTTGCAGACTGAACATGCAGCAAGATGAAATTTTCACCTGCTTGATATCAGTAGAAACAAAATTCTCAGTGTGTTCAAAGTCACTCTTTAAACATCAAAAACTGACAAGAAAAGAAAGAAAATTAGGAGAAAACTAGATGATTAAGCAAAAAAAGATGTTAGAATGTCTCAGTGTCAAATGCCTAAACATACATAATGTAATCTTGTAACTTACAGCAAAATTCTACATATCACTATTGATATATTTTAAATATAATTTCAAATATTAGCTTTTAATGTTCTTTCACTCAAAATAAATGTAAAAAGATTTATGCTTTTTAATGAGGCAGTGCCATTGCACCACTAAATCCATGTAAAACCTGTGTGTGAGGTTGGACTTGCACTGAATCATGTATTCACACCAGGAAGTTAGAGCTGAAGAAACCTTCCCTCCTTCCCCTGTTTCTTGTCTTCTGGTCTCCTTCGACCTCTGATTTAGTTTGCGGCAAGTGGACACTACCAGCCTCAGGAATGGCACTACTCCCCCACCCACAATGCCATTTTGGGCCCATTTGGGGAACTGATGACAGAGGCTGACCTTAATCGTATTGAGAAGCAAATTGAGAACCTCCAGGTCATGCACAAGGTGTCAGAAGTCGAGAGGGAGCTGGAAGAATTAGAGCATGAGCTGCACCAGCTCCTACCAGTTTCTGCTGCCCTCCATCAAGGGCACTTCTCAGTTAATCCAAAGCAGGTGCATGGCCAGGCTGAAGATCTTCCAGCCTGGTGCAGTAAGATTTCCACACTACTCAAGAGTATGGCCATTCTTCTCGCCACACTGGGGGGAAAAGAGATAGATATCTTGGATCTTGTATGCCCAGTATATTCTCAGGAAGAGGCAAGGAGTGTGAGCACAGGTCAGTCTGAAACAGCAGGATCAGCTGGTACTGGATTTATTGGACGGTCTCAGTCCTTCTCCACGAGAGAGGATGTGGAGAATGAGATAAAGCAGTGTGGGGTTTCAGTGAAGAACCTCAAGGCCAATTATGAAATTCAGAATCAGTCACAGTCTTTAGACAACAAAGCAAATAGGGTTTACAAACGTAAGAGATCCCTCCCTTTGGTAAGTGAGTCTAATCATGTTCCAGAGACAATTCAGGAAGCTGTCCCTTGTTCTTCTGCTACAGTCCTTGAATCTAATAGCAATGGACATTTACCCTCAGTGGAGGAATCAGTTTTACCAATGGTTGAAGAACCCGTTATCATTGCATCTCATGCTCCAAAGACATATGCCCCTCATGAGATAATGGCTCCAACTAACATTGAACAGTTCAATCAGGTTCTGTCTGCAGACCCTATTTTAAATAATGGCCAACTAACAAGAAGCTTAGAGGTGCAGACAGATCTAAGCTATGTCCAGGAATGCATTGAAATGAGGAAAGAGAGGATCGTATTCTTGTTCCTTGAACACTGGCGAAAGTACACAATCTCTGAGTCTTATCGGACTAAATATGGAAGCAGGAGAGGAAATCATTTAGATGTGGACTGGGAGGACTACAACCAATTCAGTGAACAGATTGGTACGGAGATAGAGAGTGAAGATGACAAGCTCCTCCTTTTCATGAAGTCAAAGCAGGTAGTAGGGAATCTGATCGGCCACTGGAGGACAATCATGAGTCAAGTGCCCACACGCCAGATCCGCAGACTGAGTCGTGCCCAGATGATCTACTGGCCAGAGCACTTCTTGCCGCACATCAATGGGTCACCTGTGAGTTATGAAAGTCTAACCCTCGACCTTTTCATGCTGGGATACTTCCAGTTGCTGGAGATGAACATGTCTCGCAGTGAGCGGAAATTCCGCCACCTTTTGTGCTATGAGATGTTTGACCGTCTTGGTAGCCAGAAATGGGAGTTCATAAGGCAGTTTCACAAGGAGGTCATGGAAGAAATTGAGAGAGGGAAACGAGACTGGCCCGACGGTTTTGAAGACATAAAGTTGAAGTATTTTGGAGACTGTGATGAGGGGGGAGGTGTAATGACAGCTTCACTACATTGTATGTCTCCTGAAATGCCCATGGCAACCCAGGAATCACTTCCTCCCCCACCTTCACATCCTCCACCTCCTCCGCCACCAACCCATGCTGCACCTCTGCTTCCAAACACACAGTCTACTCCACCTGTGCTGCCTTCCCCACACAACCCATCAGATGGGTTACCCTCATCACCTGCTGGAACCCATGATGGTGTATCTAATAATGGCCAGTGTGTAGAGCAGAGAACCCTGAGAAACTCAATGGAGGACAATGCTCAGGGGGATGTGAAATCCATTGAGCAGAGGTCATCAAGTGAGACGGTGGTTTCTAATGGAAATAGTTCACTCAAGGATCATATACAGAGCTCGACAACTGAAACTCTACAACAAGCTGACACAACAGCAAAAGCTGAGACAACACAGCACACAACAGAAAGCTCAGGACTAAATCCAGTGAAAGATATTCCACCTGTTACTGTTAAAATCCTAGAGGAACCTCATGTTGATAAACCTCCATCAAGAGATGAAAGTAATGGAGACTCAATTAAACTTATCTACGAGCTAAAAGAGTTTAGCAATGAAGAGATCATCAGATACATTGACCGAAGCTTTGCTTTTTGGAAAGAAAAGGAAGCAGAGCTTTTTGATATTTAACATCTATGGATTTGGGCTTGACTAAAATCCCAGTTCACCTGTACAACCAAAGAGAGAAGAACAGGACCAGGAAAATCTGCACGGTGGAGTATGCTGAGGGAGGAAACTAAGCTGGTGTATTCGCGTTTAGACAACATAAGGGACTTAACTACAGAGAAGCAAAGAGCATCCACTTAGCTGTGCTGACTTTTTGATTTGCATTTGCCCTAAGTGGATGAAAAGATAGAGTGTGTATTGCCATGGTACACTGCCTATGGGAAAGCAAGTTTTTAAAGCTGAAGATTTGCCATTGCAAATGCCAAGTGCATTGTTTATCATTATTATTTTGATTTTCTGTTGAATGAAGGACATAACTTGGCTTGAATTATTGACATTGCATTTCATGTTGACATCACCACCTCAGAAGACAAGCAATCACTTCACAATTCAACTCAGAGATTCTACAGCGGCTAGAGATGAAATGGTGATGGTTTAATGAAGTGGTATAATTCATTAAGTGCACTTTGTTGCTTGACTCAAATGCAACGAATCTAGGTCTTCAGTTGCTTAGGATTTTAAGGTTACTTAGTGGGTCCCTTAACACAATGAGTGCCTTTCAGTATACATTGCAAAGATTAGCACTGTGGTAAATGAAAGGTCCTTTGTGACTTTTGTTGACCATTTTAGTGACCATTTATTAGTACTTCAGAACTTGAAATTTACAAATTTATATCAAATGGAATAATTAATCTTACAAATTTATTATGTGAATTAAACATCAATTTAAGAGTTTGTAGTTATTTCATTCCATAATTTTGTTACTTCAATTGTTGTGATCTTAATTTAATTTGTGGTCTTTTATTATTTGATTTCTATATTGCTATTAGAAATAAAGTTTGTGATTATAGGATTTCAGTAGTTATTTCCTTTACATTTCTACACTAACTGTTGGAGGTTACTCTAGTGATAAACATTGAATTTACCTGACTGACTGTAAATCCAAATTAATATATGTTGTAACATGTTGTTTCTATCTTGGAGAAAATCCTAACAATCACCTCTTGTACCAGTAAATGGGCCACTTTCAAACACCAAGCTCTTTTATGTGTAATCCTCCACTGCGACATTCGTAGCCGTCAAGAACCACACTATTCTCATAGTGCGGCCTCTGCAGCATCAAGATTACCTTCAAATAACCCTCTTAGCACCACCCGCTGTCATGCTATCCGTGGCTTACAGGAGCTATAAGGAGGTTACAGAGAACCTTGATCAACTCACAGCCCAGAAAGGAAGGGAGTCAGCTGGTAAAACTAAAGGTATATTTATAGATTTGCATTTATGTAAAGCATTTGATGAATGGAACCAGCACACCAAAAAGTGTGGGGTGACAATGGAATTATACAGTCTAGGTTATGTGTAGTCAAGGTACAAAGTCCATGTAATTAGGAGGATTAGCAAAAGAACAACTAAAAAAAATTCAAATTGTCCATTAATTCAATAGAAACTGCGATTCCTGATATAACTATACTGTTATTTGAATTCTCTGTCCACTTCAACAGTTGTCCAGACCATACAGTGTTAGGCCTATTTGCATTGTGTCCTTTATACAGTTTTCTAACCAGTACAAAATAGATACTACCCTGCTGTTAATAGTGACTTAGATGTATCCTAAGGTAGGAAACAGATATTCTAATTTGACATCTTTCAGATTAAAAAAGTGACCCAACATACAAGTAGCTTATAGTTTCCACTAAGGTATTCTTCCAACATTTAGTAGCATTATCACTACATAAATACCCAGCACATAACAACTCATATTTTTTAAATAATAAAGCATCTGTCTAACCAGAAATTTCATCATGTGAGCCTGATAATTAATTGGATACACTCTTGGCAATACATTTCAGTAGAGATTCAGCTATCACTGTCGTTATTTGTAAACTGGCGTGGCCCTGCAACTCTTAATAACTACTGCAGAAAATGAACTTCACTTTTACCTTTACTTGTTAGTTGTTCTAGTGTTTATTGGAAACAAGTTTAAATTTGAAAGCTTTCCGACAGCAGTGATATCTTTCAGAAATAAAAGTCTCCAATCTTTTAACTTATGTAAGGTCACAGGTTTGATTCTTATCAAGTGCATTCACTAATGCTGTTCCTTAGGGGATATGTCAGAGTTCAATAATATCTTTTTCCAAAATTAGACTAAAGTATGGTGAATCTATAGCGTCACTAAATCAGTGCAAAAAAGGAACAATATTGTTGCTATTGTTGGCCTACATAACCCATTTAAAAGGTAAAAGCAAGGGACTGTTGACTATTTTCACCTCATCGAAGAATAAATAGCTAATTAGAATTTGGGATTTTTTTTTTTTTTTTTTAGCTTTTTTTTTTCTTGCTCTGTAATTCCCAGGGGAATCATTAAACATTCACTGTGTAGATAATCTTACCTGGATTTGGGTCTGCCAGGGCAAGTGAAATGCTTCAGTTAAAGGAATGCAGAAAGGATAATGTATCTTCTCAGGTGAAGATGAGATATCCAAGATGGCTGCCCTCTGGCTGCTGCACCTCCAATTACAGGCTGAAAGAGAGTAAAGGATCCAGTTACTGTGTGAGTGCACAGTCTGAGAGAACGTCCTGTAAAACAAAGTCCTGTCTATTGACAAGGCTTTATTTTAACTCAAAGACACAGGAGATGAGTACCTGCCTATTGTGAGTTGTTTGCTGTTGTAAGTACTCATGTGAGTTTACTCAGTATACTACGTGTATTTTCAGCATTTAGTCCTATAGGTCTTCCATAAAGGCTGTTTGACAAAAACTTGACATTTGAGAACGAATGTGTTGGTTGAACTAATAGGTGGACTAACATTTCATTACTTTTCTCTGTAAGCAGATGTTTACCACCTTCTCCGACATTTACAGAGATCTTATGTGATGTGGAAACACCTCAATCCCACCTGTGATTCATTACCTTAACCAAAGGGGTTGGGTTGTTTGTCTGCGTTTGTTTGACTGTCAGTTAGTTTGCAGGATTACGCAAAAAACGTCCGTACGGATTAGGATCAGGGGGTGGATCCAGGATTTCCTCTTCCTCTTTCTTTAACATTGAGTTAACTGATATTTATGAGTGTTTACAATTTGGTGCATATCCAAAACAAAATCTGGAAATGGAGAATTTAATGTGTTTAATGTTGTGCTGGGCAATTAACCGAAAATCTATCGAAAACAACATTTATAACCTCTAAATGATGTAATCTCATGTCGCTTATTTGGTTAATACCTTCCCCAGTGCTCACATTCACGATTTGTTGGGTTTCCACGACGTTCCTTCATGTCCTCCCTCCTCACTCTCCCACTGATCTGCCCTCACTTTACAAGTTAACAATAAACACCAGCACTAATCTAATTAGGACGTTATTAGGACACGTACAGTACTGAAGTTTCCTTTGTGTTTGTTTGATTCGCTCTAGAGTTTATGAGACATGTATTTAAAAACACAGAAAAAAGGTCCAACATTTTGCACAGACACAGTTCACCTGCTGCCCACAAAATGAGACCTTACATGACGCGCTGATCACGATCCTGTGGGGGGTAGGGTGCCATAAAATAATTGTCATTTATCGTAACTGAGGTAAAAGTTTGAAATAATCATGATACTCATTTGAAGTCATATCACCCAGCCTGTATTTGCTCCACTGAGTGCTTTCTATTTTATAAAGTAATACAGAAACCTAGAGATTCCAATTAACTCCAGTTTCAGTGAGAAGGTTTATTGAGTCAGTGAGAAGGTTTATTGAGTCACAAAAAATAAATAAAACACACCATCAAAAACTGAAATGAGAACTTTCAAACATGTGCAGGTTATTGCAGCAAATATCAGTTTCAAAAGATTTTTTTTTTGTTAGCATACAAATTTCGATTAAAACTAGTGATTGACTGATGTGACTACAGTGTTTCCCCTCAGATTGTGTTTTGCAGTGGTAGTGGGTCGTAGGGGAACACTAGACTATATAACATCATTCTGCCAACCATCGGATTTTCCACAACAACACAGACTGTATTTTAGGAGGGTTACTGTGTTGTTTCTTACCCACACCATCTATAAATGAGCATTCTTATTTGACAGACAGGTAACATTTTCAGGTAACATTTCTCTTCAGTATTTGTTGGAGGCTTGTCTCTTCACTATGGGGGATATGGTCATGTAAAGCAGGATAATAGGGCTGCTGTTACTATTACGATCCTTTACCAACTGGTGTGGGCCCCTATCTGTCTCTCCCCTCTGTCCGTCTACAGGCAGAGGAGGAGGCAGCACGCCTGGCCTCGATGCCAGCCTGGAGGAGAGACATGATGAAGAAGAAATTGGACGAAGAGAAGTGAGTAACAAAGCTGTGTTGTGCTGTTTAATCTCTACTTGTACCATATTTTTTGGGTCATTTGGGGAAGATTAAGTTTGTATATGTTAGTGACAAGTTTTTTAATTTTGAACACACACACACACAAACACACACACACACACACACATCCTAATTCAACTGTCAGACTGAATACTCTTAAGTACAAACAACATAAAACACATTGCCAACACACCAAACCTCTGGATCCACAGGAAACACTGCATTTGAAACACCTCTCATACTGCAAAAATGCTGTATCCTGCATCTGTTAGTGTGCAAATCTATGTACCGATCCAGTACCACGTGTTTACAGTTTATTAGTTTCACCCAGATGAAACTACAATTTTCTTTTCCTGGAAATCACTGCTCCAAAACAGCAGTTGAGCTGTACTGCCACTTGCAGCAGTGTGGTGTTAACCAGTGCCTGATAAAATGGCAGCAATTTGGAAGTGGAAGTGCCCATCAACAGCTATTTAACAGGAGTAATTGTTTTTGAAGGAAGTAATTGTTATGACTGTCAAACTAGATTATAACAGAAGCTGCATTCATTCTCTGTATGTATTTGTTTTTACCCCGAGCCAGACCTTACAACGATAATAGTATTTTATTGCTATATAATTGTGCATCAACACTGTTTTTAACTTGTGGAATAACTTGTTGTTGCAGTGCACGATATTTACTCCTTTTCTTCTTGTGTTTACGTTCTCCTGATGTGACAGGGAACAAAAAAGGTAAGAAAACACGATGCACTACACAAAGAGATGTTTACATGACATCGTAAACATTGTGAACGTGTTTAATGAAAAGATGGGAACTCCTCAGAAAATCATAAATTGATGAATCTCTGAGTGTGAGATAAAGTGTTGATTCCACTGTTAAAACAAACAGGGTTAAGACAGTTTATCTAACATGATGCTGGAGACTGTAACGAAACAGCTCGTTAATTAATGGCCCCAAACTAGATACTAACTAAGTCAGTGTTAAAAAACTATGAGGAAACTTGTCTGTACACAGTCAGAAAAAGTGCAGTGATTTTGTAAGTACAACCTATACTCTACACCACTTCCTTCTCCATGACAGAGCTAACACTGCTAAAGAATGAGGCGCTCGTCACACATAGATTTGCATTATTGTCTTCTTAGAAGTTCCACCGTATTTGTAGAAATGCTTTGGACAGAAGCAAATACCAAATGATTATATGTGAATACAATGTAGAAGATGAATGAATTGCATGTGGACTTTTCCTGTATGATTCTAACTGTTTTGTTTTTGACCTTTCCTTGGTGGCTGCGTCTAGAAAAGCAGATGAGAAGGCCAAACAGGCCAAGGCGATGGAGGAGAAGACGGAGCTGGAGCGGCTGCGGACCCTCGGCTACGACGAGACCAAGCTGGCCCCCTGGCAGCGGCAGATTATCTTAAAGAAAGGGGATACAGCCAAACAGTGAACTGGGTCATCTCCCCCTCCTCTGCCCTGCAGAACCTCCCCACCCTCACACGCTCACCCCAAGGCCTTCACTGAATGCCTCCCCTTCTTTAAGCCTCCCCCTGCACCCTGTACTAGACAGAGGAGGAGAGTCCGTCTCTTCTGAACCTCCAGACACACAGGGAACCGTGTTGTGGCTGCTGCTTTCCACTGGGCCGCCGAGGCTCAGCCCTGATGAAACATAGCAGCGTAATCCTCCACCTCCCACTGAATGTCACCTAAACACAAACTGTCGGCAGAGATTCTCCTGCCTCAAATAATGATTATCTCTAGTATCTTTCCATTGGATATTTTTCTGCAAATCAATATAAGCTATTCTACATACAGTAGGAGATTTAAGAGGTGTGTGATAGATTGACAAGGTCATTTTGCCATGGGGGGAAAAAGCCTGTTATTGCATTCATATTTTCCCTCTATTATCCCCACTCACTGTTAAGAAAAGCTTTGACAGGTACTGTAGCTTCATAACAGAATGGATGGACATACTCAGCAAAGGCTTAGATCACCGCAGAGCAGCTAATGCATTATGTATGTAGACAGAATCACATCTTTATCATGTTATACACTTAGTCATTAGATATTTTTTTATCAAACTTGTAGAAGCACTTTCTAATTGGCTTTGTTTTACTGCCACAGTCATAATCTTACGATCCTAACACAGCTCAAACTAATCGGTTTCTTTAGAACAGCTTCTCTGTGGATTTGGAATATTGATATTTGTATATCCTATTTGAAAGAATGAAAGAAAAAAAGATTAAGTAACTGCAAATCAAATTTTATTAATTGTCACTCAGAAAAAAAGCTGCAATGTTTCGATTTCATTTTTCTATATGTGACCTAAATGTTAAGCTATTGTGATTATGAATGTGAAATGTTGTGTGCATGTGTTGCAGAATGTGTATCGAGCATGTTGTGATGTACTATTAAGCCCATTCGACCCCACGGCCCTGGATTTTCAAAGAAACAACAAAGACACATAAATGTGTGAATACTATCCTGATGGTTTCTATTTGAATAAGGACTTTTCCAAATAAAATTTTAAAATACATGCATATGTGACCAGACAGTAGACGTGTCTGTGCAAAAACTGAATATTGCAAAAGCGGAGAAAAGGCATCAGTTTGTCCTGTGTGCTGTTCTGCCCTCTGTCCCACTAACCTGGAGGATAAATCTTTGATGAGCAGATCTGCTTACACAGCGCTCTCTGTCTGCCAGAAACAGCAGCAACATCAGAATGGAACATGTCCTTATGTTGTGTCAGTTTCATGTCAGTGTGTCAGTAATAATCTGCCGCCACTAATGTGGAGAGTCCAGTTTCAATACTCAACACGAAATCTTAGGTAAAACACCTGATCAGAAATATGATACAAACTCTTTAATTAACTCTAGACATTTCTCGCAAATCATTTTACATGACTGATCGGACACGAATGCCAAGTTGATTATCCTACATCTTATTTCCATGGTCTGTACAGTTCAAGGTGTTTGAGAAATTACAGGATTCATTGGTGCAAGATTGTATGAAAATGTGGAAAATCTGAGATGAATATTTGTGACAGAACTGAGGAGACATGCACATTTTAAACGTTAGCAAAGCATTACGCTGTGTACTGACATTTAAAGTAAACTCACGACCATGAGTGCGTCTTTCTGAATACGACACATTGATATTCCCACATGATGGAAATTATTCTCTATGTTTACAAATGTAGGTTATGGAGCTTATATATGCATGATCCTAGTTAGGGAATCATTTGGAAATATTCAAATTCACTTTCATCGGATGCCATATATGATGTTAAAAATGAAAATGATGTGAATGTCATCGCCATTTTATTATATACATATATATATATATAAAATCTCTGTATATAGTGACCCTCTCAGAACTTTGTCATTTCATTGTTTCCATAATATTACATGTCTCAGCCTTGCTTGAATAGGATGTTGGCTAATTCATGTGTAATTATATTTTCAGACCGTTAAAAATGAAGAAAATAAATCTGTAATCAACAGTTCAGAATGTGCTTGTGTTGTCACCAACAGAAACGTGTGTACGATAAAATCCACGAGTCGTACAACAATGAAGCTCATGAATAAATCATATCTGGATTAATATAATGTTCAGCTTTTGATGAGGCTGAGTGACCTTAGATCAAGCAAGCTGAATTTAACTCAGAGTTGGACATACAAGAATGTACATGTCACCGCTCAGGGAAGAGGTCAGGGGGATAAAATGTCAAAATAAGATTTAAAATAAACTAAATACAACAGAAAAGGTGCCACAGACAGAACAGTTTCCATGGTTACTGCTGTAAATTGATCATTTAAATAAGAAACATCAGATCAAAACCTCTAAACCCCCTACTGTTGATATTTTTTTGTATATAGAGGTTTGCTACAGTACTGCTCCATTTAAATATTTAAATATCTAAACGTTTGGAAAGACTGCTGACATGTTTGTATATGAGGACTAGACTGTAGTCTAATGTCATCCGGTGGCCACTAGAGGGAGCCAAACTACTGCTGCTATTAAGATAAACAAACATTATAAATAAAAACAATGAAGAAATTCACTTGGAGTTTAGAGAGTGACGTAGTTAAATCTCTTAAAGCTTGTTAAGACTGTTGATATTTCTTATGTCTGCGTGTGGCTGGTGGCCAGAACATGTACTAGTGGTCACTAGGGGGCGCTGAAGCGCTACAGCCATTTAGGTAAATAAACATCAGAAACAAAGAAACACAGCAGAAATCAAATGGGACATTGAAGAGAAGAGTAGTTTAAATCTCTGACAGCTTGTTTTGACTGGTGATAGTGTTTATGTCTGCATGTGGAGGTTGCCAGAACATGCATTATATGGAGGGAAGGGTAATGTCTCCTAATAATCACTAGAGGGCGCTAAAATACCGCTGCGATATCGATAAACAAACATTTACAAATAAAGAATAGAAATTCAATGCGATCTA